CAATTTGTTTACATAATTATGAATTCAATTTGGGTTACTTATGATATACCTGGTCGGATCATTTCAAGATGAGAGTCTCCGATAACCCATATGTTTTTGGAGGATGAAATCTTTGTGGTCTGCCTCTTGAAGTCTGAGTGTAGCCATATGCTCACCACCACATTGAAGAACTCATGCAAAATATGAACCTGACAACCAACACAAGAACATCATACATTGATTTCGATTTATATTTCAGATCATAATTAGAATGAAACGACGACGCATTAGTTGTATTGTTTTGTCAATTATTTAATTTGATGAGTCTTTTATATGTGTAATATATATTATATATACTGGATATACTTAATAAGTATGGCATGTATTAATAAATAATTTTAGTTAATTGAAGTTAACAAAAATACTCGAAACAGCAATCGAGTCAGAATGGATGTCATTTGTACGAAACATTGACGCATGCTTCATTTTTCGATACAGATTTCATACAGTTTGCTTACCGAGCTCCTGGCATCACTTTTCGTTATATTCTCTGGTTTACTATGCGTGTGATGCTATTTTTTTTGCACAGTTCCGAGAACATTTTGATGTGCTGAGTTGCAATGTTAAGTGATTATATAATGAGAAAGAAAACATGTACTGTGTTTCGATGTCTAGTTCCGTGTTCAGTCCTAATACACAACCTAACTTAATTTCATACCACAGATACTATGTTCCACTGTTTAATCTTCAGCCTTTTTTGCGGCATCCAAATGAGGTATTTTCATCACGATTGCGAGCAGAAAACGAAGTGTTCGTTAAAAACGCTCCATTTCGTTTATCGAATTTCGATACGGAAACTAAAAAAACCTAGATTAATAAAGAGAGACTTACATGATTCTTGTAAGCCTCTCTTTATTAAACTAGGTATTTTACCATTACTTTGTCTCTTAATATGTGAATCAGTGTTTTTTGTCAAAAATGACTTGCTTAATGGCGGGAATATATTTTCAGCAAACGCACTTGTCTATAACTACAACACTCAACGTGGTAATCGTATTCATCAGGTGACAATATCAACAGCTCACTACAAAAAATTCACATATAATGCATGTACATTATTTTACAAGACCTTGCCAAATGGCATTAAACGATTAAATTCTATAAAAACGTTTAGGTCCCAAGTAAAATCTTTTCTGCTGCACAACTGTTTCTATACAATTACAGACTATACTGAGCATCCAAAAGGAAAGTAATATTAATTTTAACAAACACATTTAAAGTGTTATATACCATTTGGATTTTATAATTATAAAGAACCTGTAACGAGTATTGTACTTTAGCTTCTGGGCCAATGTCCCCCATCTCGATCAGATTTTCGTCCAGTTTCCCTGATCTTCGAGCAATCAAGTTAAATATTTTCCATTTTCAAACGCTTCTTATTTCTTATTTCAGATATTATTCTCTAAGTCACTAAGGTGATCGTAAATATACACTGCAAGGCCTAATAAAATAGGTCTTGATCAGAACCAATATGACGTTATTGAATACATGTCTCAAATGGTACAGGTGTTCTCCGATTTCTCAAAATTTAAATTATTCTCAAATGGATACGAAAAAATATTGAACGTAACATGTGTATAAAGGTATATTGAACCGCCCAATGCAGAAGCATGCAAAGGGTACATGTTCACATTTCGGCTATTTTAATGTAATGATTGGTATGCATTTCTTTTAGCTTTAGCTTTCACTCCTCAAAAGGTTTTTTGTAGTATATTACATTGACTTACACTGATTATCAGACTTTGCAAATGTATCTGCAAAAAAATTTGCAAAATAACATAATCAGCCTTGTTGCAAATGGTTTTTTTATCTCCTGTAATGTTGTGAAAATTTGAAATGTACTCTTTCTGCATTAGACAATTCAATTGCACTCATAGTATAAAAGAAAACTTGCTCCCATTGTCGCTCGTTGTCTTGAACATTCCAATCAAACAATTATCTCCCTCTATATAAACTAGTTTCGTTAATTGTTACATTTTTTTTAATAAATTAATAAATCTGAACGTCTGTATTAAGCACTTAATTAAATGAGAATGCTTGTTCTTTCATGTGAAAATTAATATTGATAAGATTTCACTAGGTACTTATCTTGAATTCTAAACTCCCTTGATGCATCTTCGATTACAAGCACTTTCAAAATTTATAAACAATAAGTCTATACCTGGTCAATTTATGTCAATGTAAAGTTTAGTTTGTTTTCTAGTACTAACATTTGAGACTTCAATAAGAAGATCGTGTTAATGGCAATTTCTGGGAAGAATATGTGCTTACCAACTGCAGTACGCTTAATATCCTAATTGAAAGGAATGCGTCCACATTCCACTTGGTCCACTTCTCAGGAATCATTCCTTTCGAAGTTGACTGAAAATGTACAAATTTGACTTGCTCAATATCTTTTTGTGAAATTCAAATAATTTCATGATTTAATTCATAAATATTAAATATAGAACATAAATTATTGTTAAAATAAACTTACAAGCTTGGAGTAGAAATATTTTACAATTCTTATCAAAAGGCGCTTTGCGCTTGTCATTTTAATATTGTAACAATACAATTCTACTCATGTTTACGTGCATGACGTAAGCACAGATAGTAGGTATAAGCATAGGCAATAGCGCAATCAAAAGGCCGAACATGTTTAACAGCGTATCACGTTTTCTGTTCTATTCAATTTGGGGTAGTATGAAGTATGATGTTGATTTTTATGATTTTTTTACATAAGCGTAGCGTGTCCTTGTAGAAAAGAAAATGTGAATGCTGCTAGACATAGTAGTTGCCAGGTTCTGCCGCCGTATGCGCTATGCTCGCGTTGAGAAAACGTAGCATAATGAATGGTCAAACCAAATATTATTTTCCAAGTTTTTACAGTGTATAATGCGGAAATCTGTCCAACGTGAACTTAAATGGCGGTCCTGCCAATCACAAATTCTACAGTATTACATTGCATAAAGTGGAATCTTGTCTAATACGAAACAAAATTCTGGCACCTTGAAGTCCGGCTTTGAGCATGTTTTACTGTACATTAATAAAGTAGAATTTAATCGATAGAAGCGAAATACTTTCGCTATAACTTTTAAGAAAAACAAATGTTGCTACAACACTTAATCGCATCATTTGTAATGATTCCGTAATATTATAGTACTTAACGAACTGCAAAAGTATTTCGAAACAGCAAATGCCCGTTTAAGGTTTACTAGTTCATTGCTGAACGAAAAGAAAATTTAAAACATTTTAAAATTTGCCTTGGGCCGGCTCGGATATTCAAGGTCGCTAAAGCCGGAGGGGTCGTGGATTTGAAACCTGCCTGGTGCGTACATATTTGTGTGTATGAGAGTCCCGCTGCAGTTACCCGAAAGCTTCAAAACCAATGTTAATTACAGTGGTCAGTGCATGAATTTGGTAGTTAAAAAATAGGTTTTAAAAAACATTTCCCTGAGTTGTAAATCATCAATTGTCAATGTAGCGTCAGAAAAACGTAACAGAATGTATGTAATTAAATACTACTGCATAATCATAGTAGGACTGGTTTGTTTGTATAAATTTAAAGATTATTGTGAAGTTTCTGCAAAAATTCTCGAAAAAACTAAAAAGAAAATACGGATAATTGTTGCCAGTAAATTCTCGAGAAATGAGTATGGTGTACTTTAGAGTTGATTGGAAAAGTGAAGTACATAGAAGAAACGGTACTTTTAAGTTATGTCTCCATTGCCGAAAGTTACGTTAAAACAAATTTCGAGTATGTTTGCCGGTGCGCCTTCTACGTCTATTACTACTGGTACCCAAGAAGCATTCTATTATTTCTAAACAATGTAGTTCTTTACAATGAAACCTGAGTGATTGTTGGAAATTATAAATTCCAGGGAACATTACAAAATTGAAATGTTCATACCAATTCAAGAAAGTATGTTTATATCGATTTGATTTTATTGTTCAAATGGGTAAAAACCAGAACGGTACAAGTTAAATTTATAAATTCGGAGAAAAACTTGTTTATATTAGGCTATATTTCAGAGCCAATGTAAGTTCGTGTTTTTAATGAACAATTGAAATGTAGTTTTAATGATAACACAAAACGCCAAGACTTTATAGTGATACTGAATGAAGTAAATAGTTTTCTTAGAATTTATAAAATGTCACTTATACCGATCTGGATTTCACCCATTCATTCGAGCATTGTGCTATTTATTTATTGTATTTTCTCTCTTTCTTCACTTCATAAATCGATTTCTTGAAAGTATATTATTTTGATGTGTTGGTAGAGAGCATCGCGTATTCAAAAGGCCCGCGCGATTAAAGAATCCATAAAGCCTGCAAGTATATATACCAGTGTGTTTCATCCTTAAAAGCAAAGTAACTACTAAACCATAATTTCACATTGTAAAACTCTTAAGAATATTCGTGTGGGAAAAATTGAATGTATAAATTTAGGGTGATTAGGAGAGGCTAATTTCTTATAAACAATAGCGTATCTCAAGAAGAAAAGATGGAGCTGATCAGATTTCGGGACTTTTTATCTCTTAAAAGCCGTTCAGATGATACAAAAATTTCAACTTTTGAAAATTTATAATCCATTTCCAATTTTTGCAAATCTATTGACACAAAGGTCCCAGGGTCAAAATCAGCTAATTAGCAATTTTGCGATAATTAGCAATTTTATAAATAATTCCGATGCGCTTAATCAGCTAGGAATGGACCGTAATTTCTACCCGAGGTAAAAATTGCAAAATAACAATTTTGACAAGGGCTGCAAATTGACTGCTGAATTTTTAGTTTAATTGTTGCGAAAATGTTAATTCTCACCAAAACTTGACCGGAAATGCTCACACGCTTTTCTTTGTCGTGGCATACGCTCTGACAGAATCTGTCCGTCGACAGCGAGGTATGACGCTTTCGCCTCGTACGTAAACATCCGAGGTCCCACACCCGGGAGGTAGTCTGCTTGCGTACGTTCAACTGTTAAAAAAAATATGAAAATAATTTATTTCCTATATTCAGAATACAAAATACAATGAGTAATTATTATTTCAATGATGGCGAAGGTCATTCCATCTTCGAGCTCTTAACTGGCTTAAACAACAGGTCATATACGTTGCTGTACCTAGAACAGAAGACAATTTTCATAAACCTTATGTGAAACAAACAAAGTAAAACAGTAATGGGCAATCCGAATTTTGCAAGTAAATATATTCCATCCCACTACGCTCTTCAGTTTCAAAATATTAATGTAATTTCATTTATCATGCTGATAAATTACATTGCAATATAGTGATTCAGTATCCATTATTTGTTAACAGTATTAATATACAGTATTGTTATCATTTTCATTAGATATTTCAATCGTTTAGAATTTATATAAACAGATAAATCGAAATCCAGGAATTAAAAAACATCTCACCGATACTTGCAATACTGGAAATGCTGTCCACGAATGTAGGTTCATATGGTTCCACTGAGTTTTCCATGAGGAAAAAAGAAATTTGCCAAATGACACCTGTCACTTCAGCTAGAAGCCACAAAGCGAAGCTCCATCTTTGCATCTAAAATTTAAAAAAATGTGGGTAAAATCAGAATTCTTCAACTCTAAATTCATATTACGATGACATTCATTTCTGAAGAACAAAATTTGCTTATTTTATAATTGTAATTTTACTAAAAGCTGTATGAAGTAAAAGCAGCTGTTTATGGACAATTTGAAAAAACATTCATACTATCTTAATGTTTTGTTCAATTCGGATATTGGATAGTCATTTAGAAAAAGCCACTCGTATTCTTATGAAGGAAACTAGGCAGAGAAGAGAGCGATCAAAAGGGAAGGGAAGGGAAGGGAAAAGAGCGAAGGGAAGGGAAGGGAAGGGAAGGGAAGGGAAGGGAAGGGAAAAGAGCGAAGGGAAGGGAAGGGAAGGGAAGGGAAGGGAAGGGAAGGGAAGGGAAGGGAAAAGAGCGAAGGGAAGAGAATAGAGCGAACGGGTGATGATAAACGTATGAGTTTATAAGTCATAGAATTATGTATCCCTTTACGAGTTTTACAGATTGTTTGGTTTCATTAAAATTAATGTTTTAGAACCCCTGCCTCCCTTCTTTTGGAGGTTTTCTAGTGGTAGCAGGTGAGAAGTTCCAATATTTTAATATTACGAAATATTTACTACTACGGAAACGTGTGGTATTGTATCACCACTAGTTATAAAGGCCGTCTGCATTAAATAAGCAAAGATATAGGGGAAAAAATAAGAAAATATATAGGAAAGTAGGCAATTTTATTCCAGAGTACTAAGGTTAATTCATATGACAGTGTCAGAATTTTCAAACTTACACTACTTTTTCAAGTATAAATCGTAGGATTCCTGAGTTAGAAGAAGAGACTTCTGCTGTACGTCATTGTTCACCGATACTGAAAGTTCTAATAAAGGTTACCTTTATCGTTAGTTTGACGCTCCGGTCATTATACAGTGGGTGATTGCAGGAATGTCTGTAGAGTCTAATATCACACGTTATTCATTCATGAAAACAATTTACACTTGTCGGAAGAAAATCAAGGTAACAAGGCAGTCGCCTCTGGTAAGTTCGCAAGTTAAGTTGCCCAGGGACATTTGTAATTATTTGTCTTTTGATATTAATAATTTTATTACCGACTTAAATAATGACCAATTTGCAGTACTTACTATTAACGTAGCGAAAATCATCAGGAAATATATTACAGCACAGTGAAGAATGTAGTAATAGTAACTTCTTATGCGCGATACATCTGCAATATTACACAAAACTGTTAGTTTAAGTTAAACAATTCAATAGAAGTGTTACAGGTCAAAATTGACACAAGAAAATGAAATTCAAAATACGTCCGAACACTCTGGCTGCTCTTCAGCGTTTCTGTGTCTATTCCCCAATAACTATACGAAGAACAAAAAAATGCACAGCCATGCGTATTGAAATATAGAGATATGGAACAAATCATAATACGGCGCTCCTGTCGGCAACGTCTATATAAGATGACCAGAGTCTGGCACAGTTGTTAGATCGGTTACTGCAGCTACAATGGCAGGTAATTACGATTAAAGTGAGTTTGAACGTGGTGCAATAGTCAGCGCAAACGAGATGGAGCATTGCATCTCCAAAGTCGGCATGAAATTTGTATTTTCCCTTATGACCGTTTTGCGAGTGTACCGTGAATATCGGGAATCCGGTAAAATATCAAACCTTGAATTGCTGCGGCCGCAAAAAGATCGTTCAAGAACGGAACCGCCGACGACTGAGAGAATCATTGCAAGTGACAGAAGTGCAACCCTTCCGCATATTACTGCAGATTTCAATGCTGGTCCATCAACAAGTGTCAGAGTGCAAACCTCTCAACGAGACATTATCGATATGGGGTTTCGTAAACGAAAACCCAATCGTTTACTGTTGATTACTCCACGACACAAAGCTTTACCCAAGCCCGTCAACACGAAATTGGGATGTTGACGACTGAAAACGCGTTACCTGGCCTAACGAGTCTCGTTTCACATTGTTTCGAGCGGATAGACGTTGTAGAAAATGGCGACAAACTCATGAATACATGCATGTCAACAGGCTGGTGGAAGATCTGTGTTGGTATGGGGCGTGTGCAGTTGGAGTGATATAGAACACCTGATGCATATAGATATGACTGATAGGTGACACATACGTCAGCATCCTGACTGATCACCTGCATACTTTCATACTCATTGTGCATCCCGACGGATTTGGGCAATTCCAGCAACACAATGCGACAGTCCACACGTCCAGAATTGCTAAGGTGGCTCCAGGAGCACTTCTGAGTTTAAACACTTCCACTGTTCCCCAAAATCCACAGACATGAACATAATTGCGCGTATCTGGGATTCCATGCATCATACTTTTCTGAAGAGATTTCCACTCCCTTGCACTCTTACGAGTTTATGGACAGCCCTGCAGAATTCATGGTTAAAGTTATTTTCAGTACATATTAAGACATTTCTCTCTTCCAGACATCTTCATTTAATGCATGCAAAAGCCTTAGAATGAAAAGTTTCAACTTTGTCGTTTTAACTTCCATCGTAGCGGTATACGATGTACGCTGGTTCTGCTGATCCCTAAACGTTCCAAAATCATAATCGAGAACGCAGGGCTTGTTGCTTTTCGAGGTCACCCAGATCTGTCCTTTTGAACATCGTAAACGGTTTCTCACTCAAATTTTTCACGAATGCATGCAATTGTTACTGGTGTTGGTAGTTCTGTTCCGTACACACATCTCCATTGCCGTTGAATTACAAGCAGTGGTTTGCTAAATATCACTTCGCAAATGCTTTCCATTGATCAAACTACATTATTGGCTCCATATTTGTAGCAACGCTAGCGAATGGAATGCGAGATATCTATTTACAGAACATCATTAAATCTTGAGGCGATAAGTTTTTTATTCTGCTGTCGGTTAGGGCGCTTGCGATATTCTTTGCTTCGTTTCGTTCGTTGTTGTCCTTTTGAGCAGTTTGGATGTATTCTGCTCGTAGCTATTGACGTATCGCTTAGCAACTCTAGCACAAAGTATGCGAGTCGCGCCTGATTTAAAGAACATCTTCCTACTCATTGTTTTCAAACTTTGAGATACTATAAATAAATATTTCCTGCCGTGTTCATTTTGGCACATTCTGTATACATGATTCTTACACCTCTCCTATGATATGATCAAACCTTTTATTAGTTGCGTACCTGGTCGAATCTGTCTCAGATGTGATCGTGAGTCCCCAGTCCACGGGTCCTCTACCCACAGGCTACGAAGATCACCTTTCAAAATCTTTTCTAGTTTCCCATTTCCATTGGGCACCATATCCAAGGAAAGGTGGACTAGTTTGGTACAAGACCAGATCTGCAAAGAGGTCAAATATTAGTTTATCTTTAGTATGTTAAATTTTTACCGTTTACTGCTGTTTTCCTCTCTTCAAATTAGGACCACACAAATACGTTTGAGTACCTAACCGAGTAAAAATCGTGACTAGCAAGGTATATTCAAGTTAAAAAAGAATGCTGAAGTAATTTGTTAAAGTAAGTTGTATTATGTTAAAGTAAGCGTGCAATTTTATAAAAAATATTTTAAAAGTAATATTTTAACATAATTTATTATTAATAATATTATCATTATTATTATTATTATCATTAATATTATTATTATTATTATTATCATTAATATTATTATTATTATTATTATCATTAATATTATTATTAATATTATTATTGTTAATATTATTAATATTCTTCCAGTGTCAAAAAACGGTACAAAAATTAAAATTAAAACAATTTAGACAAACATTCTCGAATTAGTCTTGTTTCTCTCCCTTCAGATACCCTTCAACTTATCCGTTTCTTCGTCCGTCCGCCCATCCGTCCGTTCCTCTGCCCGTCCGTCCGTTTCTCCGTCAGCAGTCATCACTAGTACATAATCCGTTCAGACTATTTTCTCCAAAACTGATATTACCCAATCGATCTGAACGAACACAATGTCCTACGAGTTTGAAAAGAATACTTTAATTTTTAGGGACTTGGAGACTATCATTTTCAAAATGTACTCAAAAATGGTTACAAATCTTTTTATTAATTGTAGTCGTCTGGAAAAGTACAAAACTATAAAAAATGGCGTGGATCTCATTTTCGAGATAATCTTCATTTTTCGAAAAGTACAGTATTTTCCCGAAAACTCTCCAATTTTTGAACTTTTTCCTCGTATGTAGCAAAGAACGATAAAGAAAATGGTGCAGGTCGCATTTTCGGCGAACCCTCTGTATTTTCAAAAATTGCAAACAACAAAAAAATTAACATTACTAAAGTACTGTGGTTGTTATGGTAATTTTGTTAAATTAATTCTGTTCTAAAAAAAATCCGGTATTTAAATACTTGGGTGTATTATTTTTTTTAATGTTTAGCGCATTTTTTTCTTTAAAATTGCCAATTCGAATTTTCCGCGTTCATTTGCTAATCTTTCACGAGATACTAGATTGCAATACGACAATGGAATCGCCGCGCCGCGATATGGGAGTATGAAATTGTGAGAATTTCTTCTAATTGTTGGAAGCTGATCTTGCTACATGAAAAGCAGTTTTAATTGTCGGATTTGTGTTGATATTAGTTATAAAAGAATTAATTTTGGTTTCTAATGTTCTACAGTTGGTAGTGAATTTTACTAGCGATGATTGGGTTGTGTTAATATTCTCATAATACCTTAATTGATTACATTACGTAACCCTTACTAAGTGCCAGAAAGTACGTGCTGTTGTATTCCCACTAGTTTAGTTCTACACGTTGTATTTCGACCATACGTCAACCTACTATGTATTATTACCGAATATTCTTAAGTCTGTATACCATGATGAAAATAATACTAGTATTTTCTCAATAGGGAGCAATTTAAAATTCCGAAGCTTGACTTTGTGACTACATCTGTGTAAATCCGATGCCTTACGTGTCGCCTGAATGAATCTCTCGAGATGACATTATAATATCCGATAATGCTTAAGATTGCGATAAGCCTTGTTCTGAGACCCTCCCACTGACAGAAAGTTCTTAGAACTAGCCTCGCAAAAGGCGGAAATTACCGAGACGGACGCAATATCTCTTTTTAAAATATTCCTACACCTTTTTTATAAAATATTCCTACATAACGAATGGTTCATTTTTTTCTTAGATAGAACAGATAGAACTATATGACCGATAGAACAGATAGGACCGCATTGAAAAACGGCGCATTTTCGGCAGAAAAACGTATTGCCCGGTCCTGGTAACGAAAGAGTTAATAAATACTGTTGTTTTTAAAATTACTTCCTCTAACATTGGTGTAGCCAGAATCCATGTTTAGTAGGTCCTTGATATCGAAATATTGATTAACGTCAAAACGCGTCTGTCGGTCCGTCTATCTTTCGCGCAAATTACACAAAAACACTCATTTTTGAACTATTGACCGTGACTAGGTTAAGATCTGTCTAAAGAACAGATTTCGTTCAGGAAAAAATCTCCATCTTAAATGTTGCAGTTGTAGGGAGACTTCCCCAAAAAATTTCAATTTTGAAATTTTCGAAAAATCATGGATTTTTCTGCGATTATGAGATCTGCACTACTCTTAAACGTCCTAGGTTTACTAAAAATATGCGGAGCCATTTTGAGAAAGTTTTGAAACTTTTCGAGACTTCATGGAAAGTTCCCTCAAAAAATCACACGGCATCATGCACATTACGAATTAAGTTGCCCACTCCAAGTATGACAAAAAAAATGTTGACCCACACCTTGATTTATTTAAAAATACTTAAGTTGATTTATGTACAGCTTTCGAACTAGTAATTGATTTTTGAAAATACTCTTTTCGCAAAGAAAATCAGGATTCGAACGACCTAAAATGAATTTAAAGAATTAAAAACAGAACTTTATCAAGCGTTATTTCTAACTTGTCAAGAATGTGTAGTTACCTGTACCTCCTTTTGATGGAAATCATTTAACGCAATTCAAGGTAATTTGAGGGAAGAAATGAGAAAATGTCGTACTTATTTTAAACGAAAAGAAATTGAAATCTACCATAGAACTATTGGAAAATTAACGAACTTTCATTGGCGTGACTTTTTAATACTTCGAATGTGAAAACTAAGTAGTGAGAAATTATTTTCTAACGGATACTAAATAACCCATTTGCAGTTCAAATGGCCTCGACGTCATCAGTTACCATTGTAAGACACACTTTCTCGACGTTAGTAGTATTTGCTACAAGAATGGAAAGCATAATCAACAATTTACGCATGCCGTTCTGGCAGCAAATAGATCTGCCTAAAATATACATTATAATTAATTATTATCGACTTTTGAGGCATATCTCTCAGAAACATAGTATCCTTTAAAAATATACGTTACTGCTCTTCAGAATGATCGATCGAGGACAACAATTTACTTTAGAAAATACTTATCTGTATTTGTTTTCTGATAACATTTACACGACTAAAAAATGTATCACATCTGATAAAAATATTTGGACTTTGGTATTGAGAATCTTATTTGTCATAAGAAGTGCCCATACCATAATAAAGTTAATGCATTTCTTTCATTGAAGGAAATATTTTGTAACTGACCTTACCACCAAAACATAGAATGAGCCTTAATATTTAACGAGAAATATTCCGAAGGCGGATCGATAAGGAAAGAAAGTAAAGTGTACTACATACTGCAGATTTTATGTATTAAAAACCTTTTTGTAACAAAACCACGGACAAAAATCAATATTACTGGCGATATGTTGGTTTATCGTATACCTTGCACATTGATATTTTTATATAACAAAAGAAAGTACTAGGTCCTGAAAGCACATCATGAGTTTCGTTAGAAAGTGCTTACATATTTCGAATTTATCGTAACTTATATTGGGAATGAAACTTTGAAGAAAATTCTACACACCTGTTACTTAACTTCGTTTCCACATAACCAGCCTCGTTCCGTTAGTAGATCCCTATCCGGTCAAACTTACTTTTCCTGTGTTCAAAACCTTTATGGCCCAATCCGTCTGTCTTTTCTACTAAGTGAATCGACGTTTAAGTGAACGTTTTCAATTGATTCCTGTCAGTTGTGTCGCCAGGAGACAGGTTCAAATTTAAATCGTCTAATCAAACAACTTACGAAGGTTACTCACCAGACCCAGCATTCCTATTATCCTCACAACAACGAACATATTCGTGAACCTTCTGCCCAGTATTGCCATGCTGATTATGAACTCAAAATTTGTGAGGCCCTAATTGTTCTCCAAAATCACTCAGACCTAAATAAATCACAATACGGGAATGAGCTTGTAGTGTTCGCAAGTTAAAGAATTTTCAACAAAGATCTATTTTTATCCTTCATATATCCATTCAAATCTGAATTACCTGTGCAAATTGTTACTCGTGATGTGGCCACTCTCCGAAATCAAGACGGGAACAGAGAAGTGTACATTTTGAGACGCATTCCTTGACCAACATGGGCATGCCCGACGTTACATCTGCCCGCTTCCCTGTTACGTTCGCGACTGAGAGTCCCTTGGCCATCTGTTCGTGACGTCACTGATAAGAAGCTTCCGAGTGAAGTCGGTGCTGCGCAAGAGTCGATGCAACTGCTCGGTCGATTCAATGTGACGGCGTGCACGTGTGAAATAATAATTATTATAAATAATACAAATTTATTGGCAAATGATTGATCCATTGTTTTTTAAGACGTCAGAACGAGAACCAGCCCAACTAAATTATGAGTCCAAATTTATTGCATAATAAAAAATTTGGAGACATATTTTGAGAAAAAAATAAAACTTTTTTTGACGCTTCACGTAAAGTACCTCGGATGGGATAATAGACGCTTAAAACAATGGCGCATTATTTTTGTTGAAATTCCCGAGTTTTCTGAAATTGCAAAAGTTTAATACTTCTAGGGTCTCTTCCTACATCTACAGAATGAAAGATTAATATTTTTTCTTCTCAATGAAAACTGTTGTTGAAAGACATCTTGAAATAAGGTATCGTAGAAGTTTTCGAAAATATGAGAGTTTTCGCGTAATTTTGCATGAAATGTAGGCATTTTTAATAATTATTTTCTCAAAAAACGGCACAAATTTACTTTAAATTTTCTCCTCTTACGTACCAAAGGACAGTTTGAACATTTGTGCTGGTCCCATTTTCGGTGAACTCTGAATTTTCGAAAATTGCAAATAAAAAATTACCTTTTATTAAAAAATTAACAACCATCTTATTTGGTTCTAAACCAGAACAATAGCGGTCAAACCTTGCGTCTGCAACGCCATTAGCACTAAGATTTAATATTTAGAATCTAATGCTATCATTTTGTTGTTGTTTTTTGTTGTTGTTTTTTTTGTTGTGTTTTTTGTTTTCCGATCGGAGGGTCACAACTGAGTGACCACTTTACCCATTACAAAATTATTGGCAACTCATTTGCCAAATGTTCAATGTATGAACAGATTTCAAAAATATTAAAAAGGAATTGGAACGCGTAGAAAAGCGCCAACTCGCTTTAAAAGTTTGAGTTTAGAATACGACTATATTTCGCTCACACGTCCGTGTTGTCATTACCATGTTTTCGTAGATGTGCGCCTATTCCTTCGTGTTCGCTACAGTAAAGTCGAAGAGAGATAAAAGTAAAAATGTTAATCTATATTCCAAAAAATGTATTTTAACTTATTTATCTTACCTCTATCTAATGGAAAGTTAGAGTCGCTTTCACTCTTGATCCCTGGTCAACCCTCAACTGACTGGCGAGAATATTTCATAACGCGACCCCTCTCACTGAAATTCACTCATAGGGTTCCCAAATGTTCACTATTTGAGTTAAATGTTCCTTATTTTTTCGTATTAATTCTTAAAATAGTGAAAATAGCCATTTTTTATGAATGGATTATTTCTAAGGTACGTTACGACAAGTTTTCTATAACAAGCAGAACTTCCTTTGCACTTTGGCTATCAGGGATATTAAAATAGTGATTAACTTAAGCTTAAAATGTTTTAAAAGTTATTTAAAGTCAAGACATTCAAAGATTGGTATTGTAATGCAGACGATTGTGGTATTAATACAAATAATTATTTATGTATTTTATTCGCCGTAACTTACCTTCCCCCTCTTCTACTTATTCACTGTTTTTTGATTTTTTTCTGGAAACCCTATTAATGACAACAATCTAGACAAAACTGATGTAAACCCTTCAGCCGTGTTTAAAAATGGACACTAATACCAGATCGTAAATATCAGCAGAACAGTCTGCAAATTCTTACCACACTGAACTGATATTTGAAATTGGTTTGTCCTTGGGTTTCCTATTAAATGGCACAGTCCAACTGCATCGCAGGAGTCCAGTTCACCTAGGAAAAGGTTTAGCAACGGGTTCTTTAGCCGACTGTAGAAGGGCATGCGTATATTGAATAAAGTATTTTACACTGTATTCTGCCATTTTCCTGCAAGATGCCATTCGTTCTTGACTTTTATAGCGTGATGTCCGCTGTGAAGGGAAGGGCATAAGTCCGGAAAAGAAATATTTATTGTGGGTCTCTTAGTCTTTGCAACAATGCTGGCGAGAACAGTGGAAGAAGATTGTATGTCGGCTATGTTGGTAATTTATATCGCTCCCCCACGCCCCCTCACGTCCTTCCTGACCCTGCTCTTAGAAGGCGTTGCTTTATCTCTTCTGTTAGGAGTCTATAAACCGCTTCGCCAAATGCATTAAGTCGCTTTTCTTTTTCTTTCCCCCTTCTCTTCTCACTTTTGTGTTTATATACGTCGCGTCCGTGTGTCTTAACGTATATAGCCGGCTTGTATCTCGGGTGAGGTTTGAAAAGAGTTTCTACTTCTAGAGGACGGCTCCATTTTTCCCCAAGATTGAGTTCAGTCGCCCGTTTCAGCTCTAATCGACAAAGAAAAGCTCTTTTCTCAGTCTTGTGTGTCCGCAAAGCTGATGGCGAAAAGGAAACCTCCTGCCCCCAAGCAAGGCCTGCAGGCTTTTACTGCAAATGGATTGTGCAAGACGTGGGTGTGGAAGCTGATCCATTACTGGCCGCCTTTTGTTGTTAATAGTTTGATACTATTAGGGCGACCGCTGTGGGCACATGGTGGGGGGGGAGGGATGGAATGGGGGGGGGTAGGCGAAGGGGGGGCCCGCGAGCGCGCGTAACGCCCAGACCGGGCCTCTAATTGCCTCCTCGGGTAACTGCGACGGCGTCACACGCTCCGGTGAAGGCCACTGTCTTTCTGCAGCTCCACCGTGGTTCGCGCCCTTTTTTCTCTCCCTCAGGGCGGTATCGCTCTTTCCTCCGTTGCCTCAAGTTAATACAAAATTTCCGAACCAACTTCGACCGCTGGCCAGAAGAAAACATTTCTAGTTTTCTCTAACTTATTTAAGGATTTTTTCGCTCAATTCGTTACCTTTTGAAAAGCTAGCAACATTGTTATTGTTATAATTATTATTATTATTGTTATTATTATTAGTTATTATTTAAAGTCGCATCCACTTCTAGGTCATTGGCGACTACTATTGCGTGTAACGGTATGGTAACTGTGAGGATGACACGATATGATGACGATAGGGGGTGAAAGGACAAATAGGTCCGAGATAGCTACGGCACTTCTGCCTTAGCGATCTCGGCTATCCGGACCGGCAATATTAATTATTATTATTATTATTATTATTATTATTATTATTATTATTAGTCTTGCTGCGCATGGAGTGAATAGAATCATCAGTTTAAAATTAATAAGTTTGATCCTTCATATTTTGTTTCACTGCCTTCTGTTTCGGATTATTTCTTCTCCCCTTAATTCCGCTCACCTCCACTGATCCAAACAACTTTGAGTACAGGGTGGCAGAAACTATTTACAGTTTTCTCTAAGTTATTTAAGGGATTTTTCGTTCAATTCATTTACTTTGAAAATCTAGCAACAACTATTTCTGTTTTTTCACGTTGAGTGAATAAAATAAACATTTACATACAATTCAAATAATATATAACACACAAAATAATGGTAGAGTTTAAATTTGCTCGATATAAGCATTTTAAAAAGTTCCTGACTCAAACTGTTGTTGATCTCTTGAAATAGATTCGCCATAGTTGAACGAATGATCTACATAGTAGTGATGTATTTGCTTACTAGTCTGCACTACACTAAACCAAAAACATAATACATTCGTGTTTTAAACAATGTTGTTTACTACTAGCAGGTTGTAGAGTCGTTCTTCACGTGAAGTCGTATCAAGGGACGAATCCGGAGGAAGGAACACTGCACTGTATCATTCCTCCCGAAATCCAACATTTTTCTTTATCGACTACTATGTCTTACTTACTTAGGGTAGAGAAAGTATTGTAATGCTGTAGCGGAAAGTGGCTGTTTTTCGAGAAACTAATATTATGAAATTCCGATATCGAATGATTGGATAAATCTTGCACTGCATGTAGTCAATTACTTTCTCTCACACGTTTAGTGAGTCCTTTATGTCGAGAAATTTGTCCACGGCTAATATGTATCGAATCGCCCGTCCGTCTGCGGGCATACTCAACCCGTACTCGTCATACTCGTCTGTCGATTTTCTCCAAACGTGGGTCTCCCCGAACGATTTGGCCGAACATTCGAAGCGAACACATGTCGTATTGATTATTTGCATAATGCTTGTGGTGGCCAGCGTATCAAGAAAAAGTTCCGGATTTTCCTTCGCTGAGAAAGATTTGATGCGATGTAGGTTTCTCGACAGAGTGCGTGAATCGGGAGAAGTCAATGGGCTATAAGAAATGATTGACAGATTTCCATGGAGTTACGTATAGGTTCCGTGAAGCATGGGAAAGCACGTGATTGTGATTCTTCTGTTTCGCTTCGCAAAGATCCGCTCATTCTTGATTCTGACTAGGACATTTCTGAGGAGCAGAGGATAAAATTGACTATTTATGGCGAAGGTCTGAAAGTCAAAGAAACTCTGTATTTCATATCTGTGTTTAAGTTAAGTTCAGCTGTCGTTCGTGCGTTCATTATTCATAAACAGTTAATATAACTGGTTCTGTGCCCAGGACATGCGATTTGTATTGGTAAGAATATTTTGAAAACGCAAAAAAAAAGGACAATATGGAAAATTATCATAAAACGTAAAAGTCAACAAGCGAACTCAAAAATGGCGCACGCAACACCACTCGAAATGTTATACGTGATAACTATGGTACTTGGACTATACAAGCCGAAGCTATATTAACAAAAATGATACACGGGGATATGTTTTTGTGGAAATTCCCGAACCTTCAGAACTGTCTGGTAACGGTGATTATCTGCCAGATGCTGAGACGCTCGAAGCCGTAGAGATTTTGGAAGATCACAATACTCGAAAACAGAAGAACGACGACGGCTTGACAACAGCAGTGCTTAAGAATACTAATCAACGCTTCTTCAAGATACCTAGAGACGACGTTAAAAGCAATTTCAAGAACAAACAATCACTAAAGAATTCAAAATTTAATATAAAGTGAAATTTTTGTAATAAGAAGGGACATAAGCTTAATGTCTTTTGAAGAAGAAATTGATTCAAACCCCAGAAAACAAAACTGAAAAGGGTTATTTGTCTGATTGTATCCCCGATTGTATCTCCCACATGTGCAACGACAAAAACGCATTCGAACGCGCGAATAAAACCGTGAGTAAATTAACACTCGCTGACAATGCTGATACAGAAGTAAAGGTGAAGGGTTCAATTATCAGTGTATGTGACGAAGTGTCGCTGGAAAATACTTGGAATGTACTCAATCCCAAAAGTAATTTAATTTAGCATTATCCGCACAAAAATCTAAAGAAAACAGGAGCTGTATTTCGAAAAAGACGTGTTTTTAATATTGCCGATTTTTCACCCAAAATTGCATGACAATTACTAATATTTTCAAAAACAAGTAAAGAACTACTTGTGAAGAACATTTCGTTTGAACAAAAGAAAATGTTCAATAATGTAATAGTATGACTGTTTTCGAAAAAATATGTTTTGTGATTTTCGAAATTTCATGGAAACCAGAAAAATTGTGCGTATGTCATCTTTATAAATGTATTTCACTCTTCTTACAAGGAATTTAAAGAAAGCTTGGAGCTATTTTGAGGAAAAAACCTTCCTCAGGACGTCACATAAAGTACTCCCAAAATTTGAAGAATTCTTTTTAAATTCTGTCTTGGAGTCGAATTAGATCGATCGACGAAAATTGAATTTGGAAAAAATCCTTTCAATAGTTTAGGTTTTAGTGATGTTCACAGACGGACGGACAGACGGACGAACAGACGGACGAACGGACAAACGAATGGACGGAAGGATGTCATACTGACGGACTGACGAACGTTGTAGAGACGAACGGACGTTTTGAATAAAACAATTTTTTTTTATCAGTGGTCCCCAAAACGTGTATTATTGTTGAATTTTCGAAATCAGTCTTATAACAACTTTCTGTTTACTGCGTATATTATTTAATTTAAACGTACACATATACGAAAAAGTAAAAAGTATTAAAATATTTTGAACATAATTTCTGAAAAGAAATTGTTTTGTTTTACCTCAAAATGAATTAAAATAATAAGTATTTTTATTAGTAAATATGTAACAATTGAATTTATGTAGTGGTATGATGGATCTGCATAAAATAAATTATGGATCTTGTTTGAAATTATTATCTGCAAGGATAACAGCAGTGAATATCGGGTACTATCTGCCAACTTTTCTCTGTGAAGCTGATTAATAGACTTGGTTAATAAGTGTTTGTTAAGGTCAAGAAATATTTAAGTTCAAATACTTACATACTTTCTTGTCAGACCATTCTGCAAATTTGGAATTTTCTTTCTCAGCAACATGTTTCCAACAAGTAACACCACTTTTTGATTAAGTGAAAATGTAATTGAACAATTTTTTCTTCCATTCAATAGTATGATTGATGTAATGATTTTATTTGCTCCTGCATATTGTTGACATATTTACATATGTTGGAAACTGTTTGGAAACTAATTGAAATCAATCTCTACATTGACAATTGATAATGGAAGGATGTTTCTTGAATAATAATTATGAAATCTTTCAATTACAATGTTTCTCAATTTTAAGAAGTACTTGAAATTTTACTTCCAACAAATTTATTTTTTTCTCTCTTTATTTTAATATATTCAACTGATATGAAACATAAATATTGAAATGAATATAAAAATAATTGCACATTTTTACCAATTTTTTCAAACACTTTGTCTAATATTATATAGAAATAACATAAAATGAAATGCAAAAATATGTCAGGAAAGCTGACTTACTCACAAGGGAAGATGGTTATTTTGCAAATAACATTTAGCATCAAATCATGAATTTCTCGAAAATCAAATATGATGTAAGTGGAGTGAGTACAATTGCACCCATCTTCTTGAGTGAAGAAAGTAAAGTTATATTTACTATCCAGAAGCAAAACAAGAGGCCATCGCAGCATTTGCTCAAAGGATCAGCGAAACTGGACAAAAACCTGATTGAGTTGGGGTCACTTGCCTATGAATTGTAATTGCAGGCCAAAACTTGTCACAGATAATTCTAGAATTACTTTAGAAAAATTATAGATTATTAATAATTAATAGAACATTAGAATAATTATTTTTATTAGAAAATTAATTCAAATTTTAAATTTTGTTATAATGCAAGTCTATTTGTGATAAAATATTTCCTAAAAATTAATTGTGTAGGTTTCTGCAATACTGAGTAAACATGACAGAACATAATATTGCTGCCTATCCACGGAAGTCAGACATCTTAAGCAATTCTTCTCATAAAACAATTATGATGAATTTTTACAATGAAGATTAAGATTTTAATGGCTATCTAAGAATGAGGATCAAATTGATTGAATCATATTTCGCGCGAACTACATTGAGTCATCTTTCCTGTATTGTCTTTGCTTTACGTTTGGAGTGGTTTAGCTTTACGGATGGATGCTCTTTGAGAACATGGCCGTGGTAAACATCATATAGTGCACGTGTAAATACTGTATGCAAGTTCGTAAATGTAAAAATAGTGTATTTTTCGTGTGTCAGTAAAATATATTCTGTGGCAATGGATGGTGGGCTACAGCTTAATATTTCTCTTCCCAGCAGTGATTCCGGAGGGTCGAAAGAGAAGGTTTGTAATACTTTCTAACCTATATCTTTTTTCATGCGTTAGATATGGTGGTGGTGTTTTGTGAAGTAGGCAGGCTTTCGGATATTGTGTAATCTTGATTCCATCATCGTTATTTTCAAACAGTTATTTTTTTGAAATTTAGTCATTACAGTGCTTTAACTACATGCTTTTTAAAATAACAACACCCCAACTACTACTATGACATTGGGGTTAGTTTTCTACAGTGATGTAGAACTTCCTTAATAGTTGGATGCTATGAGCAAATTCATGTTGTATTCATAGTAGAATCTCATCAATTATTGAAATATCTCAGACTGAATTCTGTGTGAATAAGACACACATACAATTTACAACTAAAGCAAACAATGTAAAGACATTTCATTTATTTTAGGTTGAGATGTATCAAATTCGGGTCAAAATAGATCTTTCATTGTTTCTAATACATTGGTAGACTTCAGTTGATGTATGTGCCTCTGTGTTTTCTGATTTCATTCTTTAACAATGAAAATATTATGCTAGTGGTTCATGCTCCAAAAGTGCTTGAAAGTGCAAAGCGAGATAATGTTTGTGAATGATAATATTAATGGGCTACTCCTTGGGCGGCTCCCTTATCTTATTCTTAATACAAATTTAATATTTGAATCATCCGTAATAAATGATTCTATTGAAAACAAACTGTCGCGTAACTACATTTCACCGTCCAAAGAGTGTATGTTTATGCCTACTGATAATTATTAAATAGATGTAGAGAGGAACTCACTCTACTATCATAAATACACGTTACTCTTTCGATACAATCAGCTGTTCCATAGAATTATAGCTTGTATTCCTATTGAAGCATTCAAGTAAGTGTTTTCCATTAAAATCTAAACATTTTCTGAATATCAATAACGTAATTATTGAAGTTGACGCATTAACATACACCATGAGGTCTACGAATTTGACAGTTAAATAACATTGATATAATACATTTTTACTTGTAATCTTCATATTTTACACATTTTAATACTTCCATTGTAATATTTGCACAGCAAATCATCATCATTAGGAACATTTTGATACTACACAATACATACTGTTTTTCCTATAAATAGGGCCAAGAATTGTAGGATATAACCTATTTTTTCCTCATTTCATAACATTATTTTAATAAACAAATCTCATTAGTTTCTGATTCAAATGCCTTAATCCCATAGATTCTAAAAGATGCTAAATTGTGAAGTCTAAAAAAATATTTTAAAAAAATCGGGGATAAGAAATTTCGTTTTCTTATTTGGGTGTATTGGAATTTTATGGTGGCTTGGATGTAGCATCTAACTTTCCTGATTTTCCCTCTACTATTGAAAAATTAAAAGGTGCTGGTCTTCTATTTATCAAAGCAATGAACATTACTAAAGCTGTTTCAAGGAAAGAAGTACTAGGAATAGTAATTGATATGTTCTTGTCAAAAATTCTAAGCAATCCTAGTTATGTGAAGGTGAAAAATACAAATTAACTTTTCCTAGGAGAAGAAATATTTAGAGAATTACCTTGAGACTAGTGGCATCCACAAAATACACCTCGTTGATTTCATGTTGTTTTGAGCAAACCGTTCCTTGTTAATACGAAGCCTTTCACATAGAAATTTTTGTATTGTACATAGTTGATCATTACAGTAGTGCATCTTAGAGAAAGTGGATTTTTGGTTTGTACACTCATTTTCAAGGGCAAAAATTTGAATGTTGAAATTTTAAAAAAATGTTATGTACTTTTCAAAGAATACTTTGTTTGATTAAGTTCAGAAATAAATACATGAATTACTATTTTAAATTGGTTATTTAGTGCAAATATTGTTTAGGTGATACTAATATGATTAGACAAAAAAATTGATATCCTAAAATAGGCTAAATTATTTTTCAAAAGTCTAAAATTATATTAACTTACATTTATAAAGTCCTAAAACCATGGTCCTATTTATCATGGTGTTGACCTTCGTGGACATCAGTGTGTTAAGGAAAAAAAGGGTAATCCAAGCAAAATGGGAAGGGTTATCACTTATCAGGTAACCCAACTAAACTTGAGAAATGTCAAGGTTGTAGGACATATTTCGTTTTAAAGAAATTCAATATAGTGAGTGGCCACTGTATTTGGGTATTGACAGGTATCATTTAACTGATGCATTTTGATTAAATTAAAAATTGAAATTATTCTTGGTACACAATCTTTTTCTTACTCTTGATTGTTTGGACTGAGCAGCCTGTCAAGATTGTGACTGATCAAACCTGACTGCTCTCTTTTTTACTTGTCATAAAATATCAATTTTACTTGTCATAAGAAGGCAAAGGTGTGATTTTTGAAAATCAAAATTGAAGAATTGTGCTTTGTAAATGAGAGTAGTGAATGCTTTTTGTGAATTTAATACTTAAGTTAATTATTGATCTCTATATTAAATTTATGATGGGTCTTAAGAAACTAGTGAAAAATGTGCGGTGTAATCTATTAACTCCAGCCATAGAGAGAGATGCCTTTACTTGCAATTTTTATTGCTGATCTGAAAAATTAAGTAAATTTCAGCACAATTTTGTCCACACATTGCCTGCCTTCACTACATTGATGTGAATTTTGCAGGTTTTTTTATTTTTCTTCTCTATTTATCATTTAGGTGTTGACAAGTAAAAAAGAAGTATGTCAAAACTTTACGTTTTTTGTTTTGCACAATATCTTGGATTTTACGATCTTCATTGAGTGGTAAAATTAATCATTATCAGCTGATCATTTAAAATACATGTTATAAACAAACATAAACATTTTGTATGTTTGTGTTAAAATCAGTTTTTCTCCTCCCTGAAAAGTAGCCAGTTTTGACATACATCTTATTGAACTTAGGATGGTAATGTTACATAGTGAACATAGAAAGTTCAGTTTTTTTACAAGTATTAGTCATTGAAAAACTTTTGTCTAGCTGACAACATCAAATTTCAAACATAATTTAACAAAATGGAAATTTATGTTGAAATACATGAAATTTGAGTGATAGTTGCATTCCTATTGGAAGATTTCCTCATTTTTGGGAGATGCTAAAAAACTTACTTTATTGTAGGGTAGGTCAAAAGTGAACTGAGAATCTGTATGACAAAGGTGCCAAAGTTATACATTTTGGTTTCTAATTTGATTTTTAAAATTATATTGACTTATAATTATTTTTGTTCAGTGCCTCATGATTGTTTCATGGAGCTTAATTAGTATTAAGAAAGTGGGTTGAGCATATTGGTAATTTAGATGTCACAATAATTGAATATTTCAGTTCAATTAAGGCTCCCTAAGGTAAATCTAGGCAGGAAAAAAATTAAAAAAAGAAATAAAAAGCAACGACCATCAAGATTTTTGTAAATTACTTCAGTTGTCTTATCTCGTAATGTCTTTACACATAAATAATATTATAAGTTGTGGCCTTGAAGCCGCAATTTTGAATTATATATACTCGCATCAAGAACGAAGATCATGGATTGATTTTGAAGTTATTTTTCCAGAAACAAGATTGTTTTTAATAAAATAATTTGTTACTAGGAATTCTTACAAAATATTTTAATAAATAAAATTTGTTTCACCGAAAATATTTGAGTTTTGACTATTCTTCGTACTTCTTTGTTACTGGGCCAAATAGGTTGTGTTCGACGCAACCTACAAAAATAGTTCATTGTGTGGTTACTTCTTTCCCTGTCTTTCTCAATCAATAAGTTAATAAATTATATTCTGTGAGGAGAAATAGAAACTATGAGAAAACAATGTAAGGAAAATTAATTTAGCGCTTAATCTAACTCTTTAATGACCAAATAATCAAAAAATGAAAAACTTTAGAGGAAAATATAGAATATAATATTTATACTTATTGTTTTTTTTTTGCAAAGATAATTTTTTATTTGCAATTTCCTAGACACAGAGTTCGCTGAAAATAGGAACAGCCCCAATTTATGTGCCTATCGTACCAAGAAAAGAAAAGTTAAAACAAAAACATGGCTTTTGACAAAATAATTGTTTAAAATATTTTTTAAAATGTCTTGTTTCATCCAAAAATACTCATATTTTCGAAAAATTGAACATAGCCATGTTTAAATATCTGTTTTTGATGAACTGATTTCGTTGAGGAAAAAATCAAGCTTCAGTGTAGTTGCATGAAGACTATTGTACAACTACTGTGTACTGACTTTTTCGTACTAGTTAATTACTGCCAGACAAAATGTGTAGTTTGTAAAAGTGTTGTCCGAAATTACAGTGATTCTAGACCTCAAAATTCTGGCCCAAATGTGAAATAGTTGAAATAAATTGGAAAATTTTCTGGTTCTCAAGGGTTTTGGAGGTCTCTGATTACGAATAGGAAGTCAAACATTTCAATAAATAAAATTACAGTTCAAATTTGGCAATTAATATATAAAATACAAATTTCTTTTCTAAATCTGTAATGCGAGCGAATTTTGACAACAATTATGCAAATAAAAGCAACATGTAAAAGTAATTGTTTTTAGTTATGAATTGTTGCAATTACGTACACTCAATCATATTATTAAATCATACGTCTTAAAAACTCCTTTATTCAAACACATGCCAGCAATGCAGTTGCAGGGAGATGCAACAAATTAAGTGATTTAGAAAGGTAATGCGTAGTATAAACAAGGAAATTGCACATTTTGATTGTAGAATTATATACTTCACAAACGTTTTATCAGAATATCTCGTTCATTTTTCACTTCCGTAATTAACAAATATTCTGTATTCACTGCGACTAAATCTTTTATTATAACTCGTGTTATATTTGTACAGAAACTTTCTCAAAAAATATAATAAGATGATCGATCGTATTCTCGCTACCATAATTGAGCGTGGTTGCACGTGGTTAACTTTCGAACTGGACTGTGAAGATAAATACAAAAGATGTGTTCCTCATGTACCTGCATTTTAAATCTATGACTGCAAGGGTAAACAATTGTGAATATAAAATCTCTAAATAGGACTTTTTTTTATTTTGACCAGATTTTCGAAGTCTGGAATCACTGCCCAATAGCCCGACAACAGCGCTTCCGTTTCTTCAGAATTCCGTCATGCTCGTGTAGATGTTGCCTTCTCGAAGTTCCGAACAGAATTGAAAAATAGGGTTATGGGTCTAACAGTGTGTAACCGATGCCAATTTCGTTGATCCGATGGTCGGTTGGACAAATTGGCCTTAAGCGTTACTGTACACGCGAAAATTGAAGCTCTTTTTCACAGAAAAATTATGTTTTGGAGAAACTTAGGAAATTATCTGAAGCATTCCTACTCTCAAATGCAATAATGTATACAACTCGCTGGTAATATAAATATTAACAACGTAAAGGATATAAAAATTCATTTGTGTAATTTTTGAAAAATTAAGAAAGCTTTTTTACTCTCTAGTTTACGTGTAGATTGGTCGCACAGAAAGCGTTCTGTCCAGACTTCTCGATTTCTGCATGGAAACTTTTGAGCAGTTTGATGTTTACTTTATCGCACTTCGTTTGAAGGGAAAGTTCGATATGTAATCAATAAGGTGACCATATTCTGAAATCATAAAAACAGGGACATTTTAGCTTTTCTCAAAACTATAAAAAGGGCGAAAGAGAACGTTAAGCACTGTTTTATCGCAAATACTTAGGTTTGGGAATTAAAATTAAATAAATTAATACGTATATACATACGTGTAACTTTCATGATGTAGTAGCATTCAATTCACACTTACCAAAGAATCCCTTAGAAAGAAACATTGTAATAAAAAATACCCTTTTGTTTAATTTGCACTTAAATTCATTACGAATTAGGTCAGTAGTCGCACATACATTTTTTATAAACTAATGCGTAGCAGGTTGAATATACAATGATAAATTTAATGTCGTAGACGGCATTTTGTGCTGACAAGTCATAATTATAAAAGTGACCATTTAGCATCCTATTTTCCTGTCAAATAATACGGGACATGGACCCAAAATAAGGGACTGTGCCCGTAATGTGGAATGTCTGTAATGTAATGTAATGTAAACGGCATGAAAGATGCTAAAAAAATCTGTAATTCTTGAAAAAACAAAAGAATGTATTTTACGTGACTTTACGCTGTGTTGTTAAGTTCATTCAGAAAACGAACAAAAAACCGCAGCCCGTGAAAACATGACTTTTGCCTTTTATAGTTCTAATTTGAGATGTTAAAGTTTCTGTATATTTTGTGTATGAGAGGTCCTTATGAAAACTGTACCGTGCAAAATGGCTTGTATCAAATCGCCATTTGGGTCATGTTATGCATTCCATTTAGCGCTATATCTTCAAACAATTGAAAGAAACAATTGGATTCGTTTTCGAGAAAATAGTACGAATTTGTACGAGTCTGAAAATGCGGAATTTGGAACTCATTTTCTCAGAAAACGTTTGAGTGTTGGAGAAACTTGACCAGACATCATTCGAAGCACTTGTTCTAACAAATGCAATAATGTATACAAATCGCCGGTAAAGTAAATAATAACGATGTGAGAGAGATGTCAAAAACATTACAATTGTGTAATTTTGAAAGGACAAAATAGAGGAAAATGGTTGTTTACGCTATCCGAGGACAAAATTTAATAAAAAATGTGTTGCAATATATCTGGAAAGTTAGAAAATGTTTAGGCTTAATGTAAAGTACTATCAAAAATCAAAATATCCGTTTCAGACGCGAAACCTGGCGATTACGAAACTCCTGGCAAATACTACTTGTATTTTGTGTACTTTTAGATTCTTTTTACTAAATAATAAAAATACGTTTTCGAATTATTCAGATATATCACACTATGACTAGTAATGTTAAGAAGAATTGTCATCATTTTTCAAAGTTAAAGACCGGGATATTTTTAATTTTTTACCAAAAACTTATCTGATGTATCATTCAAACGTTTATAGTGAAAACTATTGGATGCTTGACATTCAATTTTCTATTTTTTTCGACAAGTATCAACAAAGCGAGCTTTTATGAACGGGAAGAGCCACTATATAAAATATAAATTTATTATTTATATTAATCAACATTTTAAAAATTGCCATTATTATAGTATTGTGTTTGGGTAAATAATGTTGTAGCTGTTACGTATTTACTAATTAGTCTCACTGCATAGATTGAAAATTTTGAAACAGTCTAATTTAGATTATTATTGCGAGGGCGAATCTAGACAATTTTTTCAGGGGGGAGCGAATATTTGTTTTAGGTTCTACAGAACAAAAATAATTCTTCATGGAACATTTATTTAAATAATCAGAATATAAAATTAGTATGATTAAAACGAGGTTTAATCGGCGCCTTCTTTGAAGGACGAGGCAGTCGTGTCATCGCCCCCCCTATAAATATGCCCTTGTACTATTGTTTGTCTTGATTGTATCAATAATGCGTAAGTCGGTATTCTTTAATTACTTTTACCTCTTGTTGTCTAGTTGCAGTAGTGCTTATTGATTTTTTTCCTTTTTGAGAAACATGTTTGATGAATTTTTGTTTTAAAAGATTTCGATGTCATTCACAATCTCTCTTTTATTTGCTTCCAGAGAACTGCAAAACAACGCAAAGTTGAATTCGAATTAAGACGTGCTAATAAGCAGAAAAAAATATTAGAAATAAAAGAAAAGAAAGAAAAGAAAAAGGTGAGGGAAGAATCCAAGAAATTCGAAAAAAGGAAGAATCCGAAAGTAGGTCCGAAGCAAGAACTCAAAGATGAATTTGCATCTTCAATGTTGAGGGGTGAGATAATGCCGAAGATACACGCAAATGAAGGTAGACTAGTTTTTCCACATTTAGCATTGAATATTTCCGATAGTAGTAGAAAAAACAGAACTGGAAAGATTAAAAAGAAATTTAATTCTGGTGCAAAGACTAAAGAGTTAAATGTAGGTAAAAAATACAGCGAACCGACGAAAAAAACAACCAGCTTAGAAGAAGATGAAAACGCAAACAAAAGTGCTCTAGTCTCATTTGTTAAAAAGCCAAAAGTATCTAAAAACACCATCCCGGACCAGGAAAAGACACCCCAATCCAAGCCGACGGGAACATTTTTCCGGAAATCAAAAAAAGCGAGCGATATTGAGAAGAAAGGGTTCCAATTTGCATTCGGCGAGTCCTCGCAGAAAGCGGCTCTCGTTGAGGAAACGGTCGACTTTACTGGAGAGCGCGCGTTCCGAGGGCGTGTCGATGGTTCGCAAACGACAGTCGCCAGCAGCGCCGCCGGCGGCAAAGTCTCCCCGCTGAAGTCGCGAGGGGGCGTGGTCGACGCGGCGGAGCGTCCGCGGAAGGCGAACAAACGCGTGCGCTGGGACGCGGACAGCGACGCCGCCGGCCCGATTCAAGAGGAGGAGGAGGAAGAGGAGGCGGAGGCGGCAGCGCAACGCTCGGCGAAGAAAATGAAGAGAAGTGGTGACGCGGGTGACGGGGAGGAAGAGGGCAAGGTGTGGCGAGGGAAGTTCACGTCCCTCTTCGGCAACAACCCGGAAATTCCGGCCGTGCCCCGCCGCGCCGTGCGGCCTGTGCAGGAGCCCATCTTCTCCGACGAGAACTTCTCCGATCTGCCCATCCACAAGTTCTTGGTGAGCTCTTCTTTTAATCAATTTCCATGTGTTTGTTTTTGAATTTTCTTCTACGATTATGCTAGTGGAATTAAATATTCCACTGAAATTCCAGTGTTTTCAAATTTGGCCACTGAAATTCCAGTGTTTTCAAATTTGGCCTGGTTGTGCTTCTGTATTTATATTTAGCCATTATATGACCCGTAAATGGCTCGGTGCCGTTAGATCTCGGGGTCCTTAGTCGGTCACCCAACCAGGAAACTACGATGTCTCGAATTCGCTTAACCTTCGTGACTTCACGTGGTTAACGAATTCGGCCACCGACGCCAGTTTCGCAGATGTGGCCTGTCAGTCAAACCATCCCAGCACTCGCCAGGACGACTGAAGGAAACCATCAAAACTCTAGTCCGAATGGGCGGCTCGGGGATTGAGCCCGGGCCTCCCGAATGCAAAGTCACTCCCTGAGCCACTACGCTCGGTGCCTATTGCACATTATACTAAAAATCCTGGAGGATGGGGTGATAGACCGGGAAAACCTTTTATCGGCGGCTTTTGTACTTAGTTTCCATACGGTGTGTCTCCATGATGTCAAAAATAGTTTATATAAAAATCAGTTGCTCAATCAGGATTTTTCTATGGGAAGGTCTGGAGGTATAGTGTTCATGTTGTGTTATACAAAATGTTAATATAATGTTGATATTTCATTGAAGATTGTTCTAAATTAATTTATCATAATTTTTTATTTACCGATTTATAGTTTTTTATAATATTGGTTAGAGACGCTGAATTATTTTGTTTAGAAAATTAGTAATATCTATATTCCTAAATGTGCCATCGGTTTCTGGAGCAAGGGGCTGAAGCTCTCTGTTGGGTATGCCACTGTACGAAATTAAAGCACAGACAATTGCCTATAAAAATCTTAGGTGAATTGCTAGTGTATTTGCCCTTTCTCTAGGTTTAGAAACGATTAATTTTGTGGGACACTTGTAGCGAGTATCAGCTTAAGTCGCTCACGGCACTGCTTGATATCACTGTGGTGCCTCTGATCGGGAGGTTCTAGGGTTCGAGTACCGACGGTGGCAGGATATTCGACTCTAGCTTCATAGCGAGATAGAATCGCTGTGTGGTTGAGAATTCTAGCGGTCGGCTGCTCTGATCGGTCGTTTTCCGTGGTTTCTCCGACCAACACCTGGCGAATGCCGGAGCTGTACCCTAACAAACGGGCCACAGACCACGCCCGACCTTTCCTTCCTCTTTTCCTATCCTCACCCCCCCTTACACTTACATGCACTACACTTGACGGGAGCCCAGTTGGGAGCTCAAAGCTTGTCCAAGCTGGGGCAGTGCCCCGCTGCTGGGAGATACCTGGTTGGGGAAAACACCCGCAAGCTGGCGCCGTATTTGGCCATCCAGCGGGGGAAGATTATTACTCGCGCAACTTTTCTTGAACGATGACCTTGATCCCCCTCCCTTCTGCAATGAACAGTTGAAGGCAAAAGCTCGCAGCGGGCACTGATGACAACTTTCCAAGCATTAAAACTTCGTTGGCGCGAAACAGAAGCTAGTCGAAGCCAGTTGCTTTCATAGTGCAGAATCCCTGTTCAGGTTTATTGTCAATATCGAAAGAAATGGCTGAGTCAGGTCCAGGTCCTTCAAGGGAGTCATCTAAAACTCACGCAAAAGTTAAGCACAAGATGCAGTTTTGTCTTTCATTTTACAGACGTTGGCATTTCTTAAAATACTCTAGTGGCCGACTTTGTAACTATGTAATACCCCCACTCCACCCGAAATCGTCAATCCATCGTTCAAGAAAACTTGCCCGAGTAATACCGACACCTCCCCCCGCTATGAAACATGCACTACTCTTACGGGACTAGTGACGCGCCCGGAAACAATAATGAATCAACGAGTCGTTGTGGGGTTTGGTGAAGACGGCTGGCGTTGTGGGCGTAGGTGTCGACGCTGTCTGCGCTGGGTCTGACGCGGCTGACGACGGTGCAGCGGAAAGCGGCGCCCGTGCTGCTGGCCGGGCGCGACGCGCTGGTGCGCTCGCAGACCGGCAGCGGCAAGACGCTGGCGTACGCGCTGCCGCTCGTGGAGCTGCTGCAGCGCCAGCGGCCGCCGCTGACGCGCGCCGACGGCGTGCGCGCCCTCGTCGTGCTGCCGACGCGCGAGCTCGCCCTGCAGACCTACGAGTGCTTCCTCAAGCTCGTCAAGGTGAGTTCCACTTCTGCGGGCCTTGGCGACGGCGTAGAAAGACGATGTTAATGTTATGTAATTTGAAATAAAATTTGTTCACGGGATTGGGCATTGTGGGTGAAGAAACCATTAGTTGTGCCAACGTTTCGAAATATTTAATTTCTTCATCAACTCACTTCTTCAACATTCACTCATCCAAGTAGAGTTGGGTGTGGTGGCGTGAAATGAGAGTTAACCTTTATGATTATTAGTAAGGTGTGTACTTTCTATGTTTTGGTGTTCTATGTATTGGTTTTTAGTGTATAATTTTTTTGTCGTTTTTTTTGTGTGGTCTTAATTAATTAATGAATCAATTTATTAAAATGTTTGTTCTTATGCATTGTCCATTTGTTTTTATACGTTAGCCCTGTTGAAGAAAATAAATATTTCGAAACGTTGGCACAACTAATGGTTTCTTTACCCACAATGACAAACCACGTGAACCAATTTTCTTTTATTATTCATCCATGGTCGTCATTCTGCAATGTTTATGTAATTTATGTATATTTACTGTTTGCAAATTGTTTGCTGTGCTGTACGCCAAAGTGACTGTGGCGTACTCATTTCAAAATGCCCGACTTCGTCCCTTATCGTCATTTGTCTCATTTGTACGCCAAACACTTTGTGTGCTAGTTACGTAAATAACTATTTCAGCACTCACGCATTGAAAGAAGTATTTACATTCACTGTTTATTGATGATTGCGGTGCGCGTAATAAAAAAAGTCATGGCTGTAGAACAACTGAAGTACGTCAAAGTAAAGAGAACATGAATCAACGTGGTTGCCGCCTCGCAGTTTGTGAGTGATGCCAAGAGTACACTCTACTTTTGTTTCCATGAATTCGTACTACAAAGTAATGTAACTCGAATAAAATAGTCTCTAGCGTACCCATTTCAACACCTTTCACTCATCAGCTCTTATCATCGCCTCGTCCGTTAACATTTTATTCTTACGCCAAAGACTTACGTTCTGCATCAGTATCGTAAATAACTATTGCTGTATGAGTTCCGCAAAGAAGTCATGACCGTATAAAACAACTGGGTACTGCGAAATAAAACTCTTAGGCGCCAAGAAGATTCAGTATGGGTGAAGCTTCGCATTTTGAAAATGATCCCCAAGGTGTGAAGTTCCATCGATGTCCATGAATCTCGAGGCAGCAATTGAGCTTGCTCAAACACACCTCGTCATCCATCATTTGTGAATGTAAATGTACAATTTGCGACTGCGTCAATAACCCGTGTCCCGATGCAGCAGTATTCATAAGTCACGGATTATGGCTTCAGTGTTTCGGATAAAATCGGGTAGAAGATACCTGGTTTTGGAAAACCACGCATGTCGGCGTGCGCGTCGGTGCACGGTGGTTCTCGCCATCCGGCCGGGAATACCAGTGCCTCCTCCTAGGGTTAAAAACCCATACACTGTACTTACGGAACTATTGAGCGTTGCAGTTGATGAAAACATTAGTGAGTCAAATCGAACTAAAGGCACAAAATAATTATTTTAAAAAAAACGGAAATTGAAATCGAAAAACTCATTCGATTATCCTCCCACCAATAAATATTTTTATAAAAAAATAAAAGGGTTCTTCGCTTGTTCTGCTAAAGCAATTTTTATTGGTTATGGGTTTGTGACCTTCGTTTGAACCTTGACACAATTATTCTGGAGTATGAAATTTGTCTGTCTTTGACCTGAATTGAATGCCAGAAAACTCCAGTTATAAGGGTTTCTTTGTTGCAAGAAGAGTATAAGTAGGTTTTTCATTTTAAACGTTCTTAGACATTTTCTCTGTGATTGGTAAACTTTTGTTTAATGCCAGTGTGTCACTTCAGATCACGAATGGATCATTTACATTATGTTGATGTAAGAAAGGAAACTTTACATAGGCAGTATTCATGAACAATTTACGTAATTTTTATTAAACGACTTCCTGAAGGGCGTTTAAATGAAACTTGTGGAATTTCAGACGCAGTTTTCGATGGATGGTAGCTAGCTACTTCGTAAAAGGGAATTTCCCAGTTCACATGAAGCTCATATTTCGTCACTCAATGAGATAACGTGTGATAGTTACCTCTTTGATTACATACGCGTTATAAGCATTTATTTTACAATTAAAAACAAGTTAGTTGCTTCTATTGTATGTACAAAAAACCTCGCTCGATAAGATCAGATGACGCTAACCTTCATACGGCGTGTAAAACGCTTGGAAACAGTAGGCTGGGAAGACGAATGCCTTCATGTACAACACCAGACGTTGGTAGTAGCTGGATTTTGTCGAGGAAAGCGTCTCGACGATTCTGAGAGTTTATGAGTGGGCTAAATCTGAAGTAACTGCGTTTTGCTGCGAGTTTTTTGAATAATTTCTGAATAACGCTTGAATGCCACGTTGTGCACTTCAATTTTTTTTCTTGTTTTTATCTCTGGCGTTCTGTGAACTCAGTTTAGAGAAAGTATGGCGATGCAGTGGGGAAATTGAGAATTGTCGGCAGAAAATCTATTGGTGGGCCTTGGAAACGAAGAAGTGGATAAATCCAGTTGCTAAATATAGAAAGAAATCCTCTAAAACCTTGTATAGCCAGAATCTATGTCATGTGGGGCCTTGATACCGAAAAATCAATTGACCGCAAAACGTTTGTCCGTCCGTCTGTGGTCAACGCTAGCGCGATTTTCTTCAAAATTGGTATTCTCCGAACGACATGAACGAACTCAAGGCAGTGCGAATTAATAACTGATATTTTGATTTTGGCGGTACTTTACGTAAAGTCTCAATATTTTCAAAAAAATCTCAAAAATAGCTTCAAAGTTTGGATTGAACTTGCCTCGGTGTGCGTGAGGAACTCTTAAAGAAATGGCACGGTTCTAATTTTCGTTGAAATCCCTGATTTTTTGAAAATTCCGAAAGTTCAAATCCTTTCCCCCCTAAAACTACAATAATCAAGATAGACATTTTTTCCTTAATGAAATCCTGGTTTATTCTATATTGCTGAATATACAGCAATGATAATGAAGGTGATCTTTCGGGTGCTTATGAAAGTGATGACAATAATTGAAATTTAAGTACGATCAATAAAAGATGATATCTGGTATCAACAATTTATTTGGCTGATGATCGTTTCGATTGCGTAGCGATCATCCTCAGAGCTAAAATTCGAAATAAATTATATTGATAAACAGTTATCCCTAATTGTTACTTATCGCTAATGTGTAAACCTATCCCCAATTGTTTATTAATATAATTTATTTCAAATTTTAGCTCTGAGGATAATCGCTACGAGACCGAAACGAACATCAGCGAAATAAATTGTTGATACCAGATATCATCTTTTATTGATTATACTTAAATAATAGAAGGTATTTACCTCACCAGCGATCTAATTAACAATAGAAGTTTTTATTTTGTCAGTAGTATTTTTCGTTAAAGAAAAATAAATTATTATATTAAACCTTTTTATATGAAGTGTCCTCTTTTTTTTTTATAAGAAATGCCCTCTTGTCCCGTAATGGAAATGCGTTAACCGTGAGTGCGTTGCTTGTCGGCAGCCGTTCATGCGGCTGGTGCCGGGCTGCCTGGTGGGCGGCGAGAAGCGCAAGTCGGAGAAGGCGCGCCTGCGCAAGGGCATCACGATCCTCGTGGGCACGCCCGGCCGCCTGCTCGACCACGTGCAGCACACGCGCAGCCTGCGGCTGGACAAGGTGCAGTACCTCGTGCTGGACGAGGCCGACCTGCTGCTCGACATGGGCTACGAGCGCGACGTCGCCAGGTGGGTCTCCTTGTTTCACAGGATGTCTCGGAGTATGTGGCACCAACATTCAGGGCATGCACGGTTGGGGTGGTTCCGTTACACAGGATGTCTCGGAATATGTAGTACCAACATTCGGAGCAAGCACG